GAGGTGGGCGGGCGACGGCTCCTGAAAAGGGCTACTTTATTCAGCCGACAGTTTTTGCGGACGTTACCGATGAGATGCGCATCGCTCGTGAGGAGATTTTTGGTCCAGTGCAACAGATTTTAAAGTACAGCACTCTGGAGGAGGCGATTGAACGGGCGAACAACACCAAATACGGCCTGGCTGCGGGCATCCTCACCAATGACATCAACGAGGCGCTGAAGTTCAGTAATGAAATACAGGCAGGAACGGTTTGGGTTAATACCTACATGCAAACCTCAATGACGGTAGGGAGTAGTGATCCAAAGCTAGGAACTTAATGATGAATTTGTATTTTGTTTTAGAATCCGTTTGGTGGCGTCAAGGAGAGCGGAATCGGCAGGGAAATGGGAGAGGATGGAATGACCGCGTACTGCGAAATCAAAACGGTCACCATCAAGCTCAACTAGAGCTGATAATTGCAATGATTGCTATTGATTTGCACTATTGATCCTCTTTTTTTGGCTCAATCTCTCTCAAATTATTTTTAAAAATTAAATGATTTTTTATGTGTTGTAAAATACTTTTTTTCCACTGAATTATGAGAAAGAATCTGGTATCCCACACATCAAACTTCAACAATCATTAACACTATTGATTTAGAGTGTGTTGTTTGCTGTTTATATAGTCTCGAGCATGACAGCTTAATTTTGAAATTTTAAATTAATTGCAAGAATTCACGAAAGATTCCATGTACTCAGCAGGCTAGTGCAGAAAAATAAATCAAAGTACTGTATATACTTTGCATTGAATGCCGAACAGCCATACATTATCTCTAATCCAATCTGTCTGTTGATGATATGTGTTGTTGTGTGTTGTTTTCCCATTCGATGATAAGTTACTTTTGAGAAAACTGCTCCATGTGATAAATAAAGTAAAAAGAAGTTTAAATTAATGGTCTTATGATCATGTTGCCATAACGCTGATTCGATTTTCAGTACACACACAAAAACAGAAATTTTACAAATCACCTTTTTCAGCATAACGTTCTGGGAACCCTCGTAGATTTTTTCAACGAAACTCATATCAACAACAATTTACACCGTCTTTGTACACAACTTTGATTATTATTTATTATAATCTCAAAAAA